AACTGTTGAACTCTCAATTGTGTGTGTCATATTGAATTTGTATGTGCTTGGTAATTATATTTAATACACCTGACTCATGAGTAGGATTGGTCTGTTTGGTCCCTCATTTCGTGTAGCATTTGCACAAAAGACAAAGATATATGTGTTACAAACTAAAGCTTTGATTATTAATTCCAACTGAACGGAGTTCAACTCATCAAAAGTTAAAATCTCAGGAACGATGCTTGTAGCCATTCAGGAAACGAATGATGGAACGCAAAAGTTCCCTCATGTTTGCCTATGTGCCTGACTAAAAAGCAGGAAGCTCTTGTGTGAATAAAACATTAGAAATATCAACTGTCCTCTTCTAGAAAAGCAACACGGCCTATGTAACAGGAACTGCTAAACGAGTCTCTTAGTCATGGAAAAAAGAACAACACAGAGGAAAAAAAGCAAACAGCAGGTCCACATGAATTAGTGAATATGGCTCTGAACTTTAATTTATAAGCTTAGCAGGATTGTAGGTTAGTAGGCAAGGCACTAAATGCAACTGCAAGACTCTCAAAGTCACAAGCGAGAACATTTCTGACTGGCATTTCATTCCATACATGTTTTCTTTAATCAGATATCTTAAACCTATTACTTATATTTTTAAGCTGCATTTCTAAACTTTGACGCAAAGTGTAAAGGAGTTACTTTGTTTAAGTCAACTACGGTGGCTCATTATCATGATATCGTGCAAGCCCCTACAATTCAACTCGTGCCTCGGAGCGAATATACTGCTGTGTAGTCCTGGCACAATTGCATGCCATAAAATGTCAGCTGCAGCCCAGTATCTTGCTTTCCCTCGACTTCAGCGCAAACACCTGCAAGTAACCGTCTGGTTTCACAGCTGTGAAATGCTTCAAAAGGATTCATTTCTGGTAATCCAAGCTCTTGTTTTCCATCAAAATAATAATCAAATAAATGGAACAAGGACTTTCTCACAGACAATTCAAAGTGATTTTGGGTGGGATTCATAATTGGTCTGTGTGGGACAGTTGCCATGTACAATATATTGCATTAAATGTAAAAACCGGAAAAACAACAAACAACCATTTCTTGGCCCTGGAGCATCTGTGAATTATGATCATAAGGGAATGATAGCAAAGATAAGTACAATGAAACAGATGGATCTGTCTCATACCGTCTCATGCAATCCTAAAGACTTCGCTGTGAAACCATCAAGTCTCAACAGCTGCCTAAACTCCAAACCCAGAGGGTGGTAACAAACTGAATCCTGACCAAGCAAGCAGGAAAATAATGAGATGAGGTATCTGGATGGTGTCCAGGACTTCAAGGCATCCACCTCTAACCCATATTTTTGCAGACTTCGGCGTACTCGCAGCCTCTCTTCATTAATCTAATAATGGCACACCTCAATAACATAACCAAGTCACCAAATTTATTAATTCACTCCATTCCCTCAGACGTAACAGAATAACATTAAATATTTTTTAATAAGATTAATTCATTAACAGCTGTGAAGCTTATGTGTTCAGTCTTACATGCACATCAAGTCATTAATGTATAGTCTAATGAAATTGGTGGGTATTTTTATTCAAATCTATTAACTTTTAAAATAATTCTGCCTATGACATTCTGGTCTCTAGCTGGCTCAAACTTCCTTCAGTGCAAGTCTTTTGGATTCTCATTTCATCTTTCGCTTAGCCAAAACTGTAAGTCTAATTACTTTCATGTGCGTAACAAACATTACATCCTAAAATTTAATGCTTTCAAATAGAGGTTTGCCTTAGGAACCACTAAAAACAATAGCAATAACATTATGCTTAAAACTTAAAACCCAATGACAAGTAGGGTTAGGTATCGTTTGGGTGTTTTTCAATACCGGTGCCAAATCGATACTTTTAAAATGGTTCCGGTGCCTAAACCGTTACTTATTAAAAAATAAATAAATAAATAAATTCCCCAAAAAATGATGGATTGGCCATTAGCACTATAAACACATGATGTCTGTTTCATTCATACTGGACGCCAGCCAGAAGGCGCCCTCGCAAAGAAAATCCACATATCCAGTCACAGAAGTAGTGGAACTCTTTTAAAGTAGCCTATGGAACATATTTTCTGCCTCATTCTGTGACAAGAAGCCACATCAGATCACAAAAGGAAGCATTTGACTGGTGTTGTGGAGTAAAAAGGTTATAATGTTCTCTTTTGTTGGACAACAAGTTTAGAAATGTGAACACAAGGGAAGTTTAGCTTTAGGCATTTTAATTTAAGCATGTTAACGCTTAGTTAACATGCTTAAAGCTTAGTTAACGGAAGGCTACCTGCTGCCATCAGAGCAAGTGTAATTACTGCATTCACGCGCTCCTCGGATGCTCTCATTTCCCGAGTTGTGCTTTTAAGTCGGAATGTGAAAACAACATGGATACTCGCGATTTGTATTTGTATTATTAGAGCTTTCCGACTTGAGTTCACGTGCATTTTCTCAGTCGGGAAATAAATTTTCACGTGCGGTGCCAGTGAGGATGCTTCTTACGGCCGTTTCGGAGAACCAGAGGACAAATATTTCAATCGATCGCTCAGGCATGGCACCGAAATGAGGCACCGAAATCTGCGTTTGGATTCGGTTCTAGTACATACCGGTTACATAGGTACCGGTGCCATATTGGTACCGGGTTTCGGTACGCAACCTTAATGACAAGCTGCTAAGAAGGTTAAATAATTAAACAAGAAGAAAGTGAAAGCAAGTTCAAAAGTTGTCAAATTCCTTACAAAGTTCACGTATGACTTAAATTTTGCCACGCTCGAGAGCACATCAACGACTTATTCATGCCTTTCATTACATCACCTAAAAAAAACAGGCAAGTAAAGGAAAAAACTACACAAAAGCATCTTCTACTACACAAGAAAAAGAGCAGGCGTGCACTGTTTGGATAAATCAGCTTTTCTCAGTCTGTAGAAGGAATCCTTCACTTGGAACACAAATGAGACATGTTAAAAGCGTTAAGCCCCCGGCACTGGTGTAACCAAACGATATGCTTTTCAAACTCAGCCAACAGTGCTGTCAGCATGTCTCATCACACAATGTGGGTCTGGGGCTCAGCCAGGTGTGATTTTTGTACAGCGGAGCTGCAGTGAGAAAAACTATGCTTCAATCTTATTACGAAAGATCACAGATGATTTACAGCGATCCATGGCAGCTCGACAGTCCAACAAAACATTCTCAGTTTCAAGCTCAAATGCATCTTGTGGCTTCAAGTTTCTTCCCCTACTTACAACCATGAGCAACAAAGACAGCTCACAGCATCAAACTACAAAATTTATTTATAATGCAAATCAAAATTACATGTTTAGTTCTTTAACATGAATTAAAGGGTGCTGGTAAAGTGCCAAGAATTTATGAAGACCATTAATTAACTCCCACCAGAAATACACTTCATAATAGAAGTTTTATGCTACAATGTTCTAGCACTTACATATGGCTCAATATAAATCCATGTGATTTTTTAACCCATTTATGGACACACAAACTTTTTAATAGTAATAATAATCCCATAATGCACCACTTGTCATTTGGCTGGTCCTACAAAACCAATGCCAGTTTGGCCAATGCTAAAAGCAGAAACATGTCTGTCGTAATGAACTTTGGTCAGCTGTGAAACCATCAGTCAGTGACACAAATCGTCATGAATAAGCCATGAACCTGAGCACAGAAGCTGCATTTTAAAAATCGTGCACACGCGCTGCCTCGCAACACCAAAAATGGCAGCATTATTAATTAATCTCTCAAGAGATATAGGACTGAATGCCAGCATAGACCCAGAGGCATTAATTTTCAGCAATTACTAAACGCAGCATATTCGGCGCTCCCTACAAAGCGTGCAGGGATCCATTCATCACCTGGCTTTACAGTACCATCTGGACACTGGGCTGTTTGTCTTTTAAAGTGATCCCATTACTGGAAGGATGGACTGTAATATAGATCTAAATTAATCATCTAACATAATGAATTGGCTATCGACTCATATTATGTGCTTTCAATTACATATGGGGATTGAAAAATCTGATGATTGTTGTTCAAAAGTAGGAAGTTGCAAAATGGTCTAATCGGCACAAAACCTACAGGCTTTGCATGTGTTAAAAAGCGTACATTGGTCAGGAAGTGAGGTTGTGGCTCATTCCGCTCAAGCTTACAGTTAAGGGCCTGTTACAAGCGGGAAATATCAAATGACAACCGGAGAAAGAGGAAGATGTTTTATGCATTTCATCAGAGAGAGCCAGAGCATTCAGACGTAACATGCAGGAAATGTTCAAAATGCATGAATTTCCTTAGAATGGGGTAATGAGAGGAAGACAAGGACAAATCTGCATCTTTAATAATTAGAATCTCATTGTGCAGCGGCACATTTTGAGATCTTTGCTTTAAAGGGGTCCTGTTATGCATTTTCACTTTTTCAACTTTAGTTAGTCTGTAATGTTGCTGTATGCAATATTTACTCTGAAGCTCGCAGGCGGCTATGGTAAGGGATGTGACATTTCCCGACCAGGCACCGAGTGCTGCCAATCACAACACACACTGGCCCAGCTAACCAATCACAGCACATTTCGTATTTCAGAAGGTGGGCCTACATTTGATACAGGAACTATTCAAGCCGTTCATGCCAGATTGAGGAGAGAGGTGTTGTAATAATGTAAAATATGTGAAAACATATTGTTCGAGTTTTTCTAACAACTTAGGCAAGACTTTGTAAAAGAGCATAATAGGACCCCTTTAAAAGTTCACTTCAAAGTCACATGAACAGTCAGTGTTTGGGACTAACAACCATATTTACTTGTGATTTTGAGGTGAAACATGACCCACTATTCTTCCTAGAACTATTCTTCGCTGACAATAAGCAGCTCATTAAGCCAACAACTTTCATTATGAATGAAACAGGCAAGCATGCAAATGAAAGTTGCAACTCAAGCAAGCTTTCCAAACACACAAGAATTACTTGTCTGAACAGAAAACTCACCTTCCCGTGGTTTACAAAGCCATGTTTTCTAGCGATCCTGTTAGCTTCCTGCTCTCCCCCTGTGATGTGGACGGCCCATGTGTTGGTGTAAACTTTCTGTCCAATGGATGGCCGTGGCCCAGAGGTCACGAGAATCAGCAGTGTCCCGAGTATCAATGAGGCAAGCCTGAGATCCATCAGACACAATGGAGGGAACCAAGGCAGGAGTTCCTGATGTCACCAAGTCCGTCAACACAGCGGCCCTCTGCTATATCCGTGCTGCCCTGGGCACATGTAGAGACGGAGCTGAGGAAGAGAGATGGACTTGGAACGTTCAGGAATCACCTGCGGAGGGAAGTAGATGGAGCATTGCAGAATGAGTCATCTGAGCTGCTGGTATAATTGAGGATATGAATCACAGATGAGCTTTAATACCATGGAATGGACTAACTGGTTAAAAATTAACAGCACACCCAAACAAACAAAGTTTCGTTTTGCTGGTGAGAGCTAAATGCAGGGATTCGATTCCAATCAGTTACAGGATCTTAGTCATATTTTATTTGATGCAAATGTAAAAGAGGCTGTGAGGTGGTGTAAATTTCATTCATCTACCTGGGATCATAGAAAAAAAATATCTAAAATGTGTCTTGAAAAAAATTAAGACAACTAAAAAAAAAAAATCCAGAATGCATGAGCTGTGAATAATAAAGGTTCACCTTGACAAAGATTTGCAGGGATCAGAAGGCATTTGTTTTCAAATACAAGTTGAGGTGACTTGAGCAACAGCAAATTTACGCAACTGTGCAGCATCATGACACGCTCACATGATTTGCCGCCAGATACAGCTGTATATTCTAGCTGAGTATGAATGCAACAGTTCAGATATTCTGCAACCTCCAGCAAATTAATTACGATCAATGTAAAGGTTTCTTTAGATGCAATCTGAGACATTAATACTGTACAACCATCTACTGAAAATCATACAGAAATACTACCAGCATTTTCACAGAAAATGGGGGGGA